AGCTTGAGGCTCCGTCTCAAAAAAAAAAAAAAAAAAAAGAAAATTAGCAGGATAGGGGAGAGGGTATTGGAGGGGGAACCCTCCCCCTGGAGAATGCCTCATAGCTTCACTATACGATCTGCACTTGGTTTCAGTTAAAAAGAACTCTGGAGGCTGGGCCCAGTGGCTCACACCTGTAATCCTAGCACTCTGGAAGGCCAAGGCAGGTGGATTGCCTGAGTTCATAGGTTTGAGACCACCTTGAGCAAGAGCAAGACTCTGTCTCCAAAAATAGCCTGGCATTGTGGCAGATGCCTTATAGCCCTAGCTACTTGGGAGGCTAAGAGAATCACTTGAGCACAAGAGTTTGAGGTTGCTATGAGCTATGACACCATGACACTCTATCGAGGGCAACAAAATGAGCCTGTCTTAAAAGCAAAAACAAAAAGACCTTGCCTCCTGGTCATTATCAAGGCTTTTAGAATGCAGTTTCTCGATTGCTGTGGACATGACCATAAAAAAAACCTTCCACTAGGTTTTCTATCTGCTACTTTGCTAGCACTCAGCCTACTGGGGACATTTTATTAACCCTTTATTAGACTATTGTTTTCCCTCCATTGCCTTTGTGTGAGCACTGTCCAAGTGGAAATACAAAGCAAGCAACTGTGATTGTCTAATAGATTTTACAGCAGGAACAGTGCATGCCTGGATCTCTTGTGCCTCACAGAAGAGATATTTCTAGCTAACTCTGGCTAACTCTTCAGGACAGCCAGGGACTAGGTGGTTTGTGGAGCTAAGGGAGGCTTGTTTTATATAATCATCTTTGGAGATGTAAACTTTTCTATTGTGTAGGGCTAACAGGACAATTGTGGATTGAGGATCTGTTCATTAAAAAAGGGATGACTTGAGGGTCAATCTTCAGTGACTCCAGCCATTGAGATGGAAAGCAGAAGGGGAATGACATGTGAAATTTCTTGAATAAAAATTTACTAATTTTTCCTACTGCCATAATAAAAAATAACTTTTACGCCAACCCCCCCAAAACAAAACAAAACAGAACAAAAAACAAACAAACAAAAAAACCTTGCCTCCTTTGGCTGGGCTGGTGGCCTTTGCCTGTAATCTTTTCAGTCTGGGAAGCTGAGGTGGCTGGATTGCCTGAGCGTACAGGTTCAAGACCAGCCTGAGCAAGAGTGAGAATCTCTCTCTACTAAAAATAGAAAAATTAGCTGGGTGTGGTGATGGTGGTGGGGTGCCTATAGTCCCAGCTATGTGGAAGGCTGAGGCAGGAGGATCACTTGAGCCCAGGATTTTGAGGTTGCTATGAGCAAGGCTGATGCCACACAACACTCTAGCCTGGGCAACAGAGGGAAAAATAAATTAAAAAAAAACAAAAAAAGAAGATGCCTATTAAGAGTAAGATCCGGGGCTCAGCGCCTTATAGCTCAACCGGCTAAGGCGCCAGCCACGTACACCTAAGGTGGCGGGTTCGAATCCCCAGCCCGGACCCGCCAAACAACAATGACGGCTGCAACCAAAAAAAATAGCCAGGCGTTGTGGCGGGCGCCTGTGGTCCCAGCTACTTGGGAGGCTGAGGCAGGAGACTCGCTTGAGCCCAGGAGTTGGAGGTTGCTGTGAGCTGTAATGCCATGGCACTCTACCCAGGGGGACAGCTTGAGGCTCTGTCTCAAAAAAAAAAAAAAAAAAAGAGTAAGAATCGGCTCAGCGCCTGTGGCTCAAGTGGCTAGGACTCAAGCTGTTACTCTGGGTGGAGTGCGGTGACATCACAGCTCACAGCAACCTCAAACTCTTAGGCTTAAACGATTCTCTTGCCTCAGACTCCCAAGTAGCTGGGACTACAGGTCCCCCCCCACAATGCCCGGTTATTTTTTGGTTGTAGTTGTCATTGTTGTTTGGCAGGCCCAGGCTGGATTCAAACCCACCAGCTCTAGTGTATGTGGCTGGCGCCCTAGCTGCTGAGTTACAGGCATGGAGCCCCAAAGCCTGTGTTCTTAACTATATGTATCACTGTCTCCACAAAGGAAATTGGCTCTGGTGGGATTCAAACTCACATCCCAAATTTGAAAGGAGTTTTCCTGATGAGAACTCTAGGCACTGAGGTCTGGAAGTCACTCTGAGCAGGCTGTCATAGGTGTCTCAGATTTATTTTCTAATAACTTAAAAGGGCAATTACAAAAATCTCAGGTTGTGTGATACCCCCACACTCTATTCTCATCCTATGTCCTCTCCCTTCTGGTGCTGAGAAAAAAAGAAGGGTGAAAAAAGAAAAGGTAAAAAGAAAACTGAAAGGATTGGTGATGGTTGACTGGAAGTGAGTAGAGGTAGAAGAGAGGAAAGGGGTTGGGAAGGTTGATGACATCGTGGAAGGGAGGAAGTTTTCCTGGGGAAGAGTCCCTAGTCCCTCCTCCTCATCAGTGAGCATTTTCGGTTAGGCTCAGGGCAGAGGAAGTAGAAAGAGAAAAGCAACTGTCTTGATCTGTTTTGTGTTGCAATAACAGAGTATCTGAGGCTGAGCAGGGTATTAAAAAAAGATTTATTTGGCTCATGATTCTGATGGCTAGAAAGTTCAAGACTGGACATTTGGTGAGGATTTCAGGCTGCTTCTGCTCCTGATAGGAAGCAAAGGGGAGCTGGAGTGTGAGGAGAGAGGAGGAAAGCGGGTGGAGGTGCCAGGCTCTTTTTAACAACTAGCACTTAGAGTTCTCACTCCTCCCTGAGGGAGGGTATTAATCTTTTCAGAGGGATCCACCCCCATGACCCAAACACCTCCCACTAGGCCCCCTCCCAGCACCTCTGCTCTGAGGATCAAACTTCAACATGAGATTTGATGGGGACAAACAAACCACATCCAAACCTTAGCAGGCTCTCTCAAAGACAACTGCTCTTGGGCAAAGGGAGGCAGGAGCTGGAGGGAGGAATCAGATTCACAACTGTGAACTGGGGCTATGAGAGTTAAATTGGAAGCCAGGCCCCCTCCCCCACCTCACTGCTCCCCAGGAATATTCCATGGCAGTTAGGGGCTCTGCTTTGCTGAATAGGTTAGGGTCTTCTCCTGGATCAGGGGTTCAGGTGCCTAATAAATGAGCCTCCCTTCATGCTTTCTCAGACCCCAGGAGCTATGGTGACAACCATTCAACTTGATGAAAACATTTAAAAGAGGGACAACTGAGCCTGGCAAGAGAAAGGGGAGATGGCATGTAAGACAGAAGTGTTCAAGAAGGGAATAGGAGACTCTAAGAGAGAGTCCTCTGGGTCAGGAGGAGAAAGGGCCCAAGATCAGAGGTCTGGAAAGGGATGGGAGGACTCAGAGTCAAGATGTGAAGGAAGTGAGCTGGAACAAGAAGCGGGGGTGCAGGGCCCCATCTCTTACACCAGCAGTAACAGGCGATTGCCCACAGACTATCGACGGGCCTCTTTGTTGCCCTTTCATTGGAGAATTACACATAGCTCCCGCTGGATAGCACAGATATTGGCCTCTGAGCTCAGCCTGGTTGCCTTGGTGCTTCTGCTGGTCATGGTCTTCTCCAAAAAATGGTTGTACCCTTCTGGGAGCCGCTACTACCAGCGATGGCCCAGGAATGTCAGCAATAGAATCTATACATCAGCCCATATTATGTCCATGGGGCTCCTGCATTTCTGCAAATCCAGGAGCTGTTCCAACTTAGATAATGAGATGGGTAAGCACCCCCCGTCCCCCATCCCACCCCAGGCCCTCAGCCTGCCTTGGTCTCTGCATCAGCACCTCAGATCAGATCCCCTCCCTCTGATCATCTTCACTTTTTGGCCTGCAAGATAGCTCCACTGGCACTTAGATCTCTAAGGATCATTTTTCCTCCTCCAGCCTGGCCAAATTGATTGGATTGACCCAATGGAAAAATGTCAGTGACCCAGAGCCAAGTATGTACTTCTAAAAATGTGAGAGGTATGGATTCTTAGAACATGGGAATGCTCCTTGGTCAATTACCTAACTCAACTGGCAGAAGAGCCCCATAGAGATGGGGGTTTCCTTGCTCTAGGCTTGCATACCCGGAGCTTTGAGAGGAGTTTCTGGAAGATTCTCTCCCAGGCCTTGATCCCAGACATTTTCCTTTTCTTCTGCTTTTCTGGGCCAGTTTTGCATCCAAGAACTTCTCCTTTCTCCATGTCTGGTTTCCTTGTTCCTTCCTTCCCTGACTTCTTGCAGCTGCTTCATTTCTTATTCTTTTTTTTTTTTTGAGACAGAGTCTCAAGCTGTCACCCCGAGTAGAGTGCAGTGGCATCATAGTTCACAGCAACTTCCAACTCCTAGGCTCAAGTGATCCTTTAGCCTCAGTTTTTCTATTTTTAGTAGAAACAGGGTCTTGCTTTTGCTCAGGCTGGTCTTGAAATTCTGAACTCAAGCAATCCACCCACCATGGCCTCCCAGAGTACTAGGATTACAAGTCTGAGCCACCACACCCAGCCCATTTCTTTCTTTTCTTTTCTTTCTTTTCTTTTTTTCTTTTTTTTTTTTTTTTTTGCAGTTTTTGGCCAGGGCTGGGTTTGAACCCACCATCTCTGGCATATAGGGCCAGCGCCCTACTCCTTTGAGCCACAGGCGCTGCCCATAGCCCATTTCGTATTCTTGTTAGTCTCAGGTTATGCTTTCCTGCCCATCACTCCTCCAAAATGGGGCCTCCTTTCTCAGCTCTTAGGGAAAACCCGAGCTTTGGACTCCCTTCTCCATTTCTTCTTTGTTCTTAACATGAAAATTTTAAGAAAGTTACACAGCTATTATTTTCTTCTATTATGAAAGTATTACATTCTTATAATCTAGGGAAGCAAAAGTTATCATTTACTGCACATTTATTTTGTTTGTTCAATTTAACCTTCATTCAACCCTGAGAGATAGGGATAATTATCCTTATTTTACAGATGAGAAAACTGGGACTCAAAAGATAAGTACTTTGTTTAGAGTTATAAAGCTATTAGGTTGAGCCACATGAAATGCCAATTGACAGCTTTTCACCTACAAAAGTAGTAGTTTGATATGGATCAACCTAAATGGAGGTTTAGAATTATAACTCAGGTGTATCTAGCTCTAACACTCATGTGAGCACTTTGCCCTGTGGTGTTACTCAAAGACAGCCAGGCTTTATATTTTTAATTGAAAAATGATTTTTACATTGTTGTACTCATACTTCATAAGTAATTTTACATTATTTAAATTATAGTCATATATCACTTAATGACATGGATACATTCTGAGAAATGTGTCAGGTGATCTCATCATCATGTGAATATCATGATGGAGTGTACTAACACAAACCTAGATGGTATGGAGATTTTTATTTATATACTTTTTTCTTTTTCTGTTTCGAGACAGAGCCTCAAGCTGTCCCCCTGGGTAGAGTGCCATGGCTTCACTGCTCACAGCAACCTCCAGCTCCTGGGCTCAAGCGAGTCTCCTGCCTCAGCCTCCCAAGTAGCTGGGACCATAGGCGCCCGCCACAATGCCTGGCTATTTTTTGGTTGCAGCCATTATTGTTGTTTGTTGGGCCTGGGTTGGATTCAAACCTGCCACCTTAGGTGTATGTGGCTGGCGCCTTAGCCGCTTGAGCCACAGGTGCCGAGCCTATATACTTTTTTCATATGGAAAACTAAATATCCCAACACCATTACTAAGTATCAATCATCTCCCTGACTCGATCTGCTATGCTGTTATCAAGTGCTATGTATCAGATTTCTATACATGCTCTATTATAATCTTAGGAGATCACTGTCCTATATATATAATGATAATTATAAAGATTATAATGGAGTATGTATAGAAATCTATAGGTCTGTTGATCACCAAGATGTTGCTATGAGGCACATGACTGTATTTCTACTATTTAGTTTTTATTATTTAAAATTTTATCTTCATAGTATATAATAAAATTTCCTTATTATAAGTGACTATAACACAGTAGAACCTCCACAGTTGACGGCCTCCCTACATTGACCACCTCCTTAAGTTGACCTAATATTCATAAACCAGACATGCACCACATGTATGTATCAGTAGAGTAGAACTAGTTCTTTATGGTGACCATCTCTGTATGTTGACCAGTTTGTTATAGTCCCAGGTACTGTATTATTCAACTTTATAGATTTATCATCTTTTTTTTTTATGAGATAGCCTCAAGCTCTCCCCCTGGGTGGGGTGCTGTGGCATCACAGCTCACAGCAACCTCCAACTCCTGGGCTTAAGCAATTCTCCTGTCTCCACCTCCCAAGTAGCTGGGGCTGCAGGCGCCCCCTACAACGCCTGGCTATTTTTTGGTTGCCACCATCATTGTTGTTTGGTGGGCCCAGGCTGGATTTGAACCCACCGGCTCAGGTGTATGTGGCTGGCACCTTAGCTGCTTGAGCCACAGGCCCTGAATCAGATTTATCATCTTTTAACCGGCTATTTTAGTTTCCTATTCTTGGAAAGTTTATTTCCAATTTTACATTTGAAAAAAAAAAAGGAGGCTCGGCACCTGTGGCTCAACCGGCTAAGGCGCCAGCCACGTACACCTAGGATGGCGGGTTCGAATCCC